GCTTCAATCAAGACAGCGGATATCCGGATGTAGTTACGGGTCAGCTACAAATACCCAGGTACGTCTGATAAACATGATATTGGTTAGGTCGGCTGCGCAGCGGATATCTAATTTATGTCTTATTTGACGGTACATAATCCGGTTACCCGCGGACTTTTGAGTCCAGACCAGTACGTATTACTTCAGCAATCAGTTTCTGAGATATGCTGAATAACACCCTCTAGGGGTAATTATACTGACAACCAATTAATTATCCCTTACAGCCCATGTGCAGTTACAGTTGCATCGTCGGCTTCAAGAACATTTTGGATGCCACTGCAAAATGTTGCGACGTCATCAAGCTAAGTCCCATTACATTTCACTTATTATGACTTTGCTTGTTTGTATGCTAAACCCTACATGAAGGAAACAACACGAGACACACAAATGAGTCACAGGGATATCAAATTTCTCTTCAGCCTCAGAATGGTCAGGAAAAAGTGGTGGACAACAACATGTCAGAGGCAGGCTTTATAAATAGGCTTTAGGATTAGGCATGGTAGAGGAACAAAATAAGAAAGTGGCCAGCTGAGACGCAAGGCCAAGAGCAGAGACTCGACTTCTACAAACACAAATATGTAAATGCAAATGGGTGATTACATATAAGTGAGCACGCAGCAGTCAGACCAGTTGGCACACAACAGAAGCCTCATGGGTTAGATTCTCTGACGCATGCTCAAGCCTAACACTACATAGATACCTGGTGTTACACGACTGTTGTGGGTAGTATTCTAAAATGAAAAAAAAAATAATGTAAATAATCTTTCTCTGCTTCTACAACTGCAGTACAGAGATAACTGTAAATAGATAAATGCTTTAACACATTCACACACTGAAACCAAAAAATAAATTAGATGTTTTTATATTTTTATTAGGTGATAATTCAATGAAATGGTTATGACGATCATTTAAATATACTAACCGGGAACTATGTCAATTGATAAACTAGAATGAAATCGCTATATCATTTTTTATTTGTAACTATGCATTATAATTTTTCCCCAACTTTGGAATGAATTGTTGAAATAACATATTGTGAATGTGGGTACACCAACAGATATATGGTAAACTTTGAATACTCCAGAAAAGTTTACAAGGTTAGATTCATCTTAAATAACTCCCACTAGTCGAAAGGCTTGAAACGTAACTCACTAATTCATCTTGAAGGCGATGCAAGCACCGCCAGCCTCAGGTGGGAAGGTCGTGGCTGTAGGTCTCACTTGTTGGAGTAAGGTCATTGTTATGGTAGGAAGATAGTCAATGCTACGAGTGATCACCTCTGGCGAAAAAGGAGCTTATTGTGTTGGTGATTATTTTTTTTTTTTATTATCACACCGGCCGATTCCCACCAAGGCAGGGTGGCCCGAAAAAGAAAAACTTTCACCATCATTCACTCCATCACTGTCTTGCCAGAAGGGTGCTTTACACTACAGTTTTTAAACTGCAACATTAACACCCCTCCTTCAGAGTGCAGGCACTGTACTTCCCATCTCCAGGACTCAAGTCCGGCCTGCCGGTTTCCCTGAATCCCTTCATAAATGTTACTTTGCTCACACTCCAACAGCACGTCAAGTATTAAAAACCATTTGTCTCCATTCACTCCTATCAAACACGCTCACGCATGCCTGCTGGAAGTCCAAGCCCCTCGCACACAAAACCTCCTTTACCCCCTCCCTCCAACCCTTCCTAGGCCGACCCCTACCCCGCCTTCCTTCCACTACAGACTGATACACTCTTGAAGTCATTCTGTTTCGCTCCATTCTCTCTACATGTCCGAACCACCTCAACAACCCTTCCTCAGCCCTCTGGACACAGTTTTGGTAATCCCGCACCTCCTCCTAACTTCCAAACTACGAATTCTCTGCATTATATTCACACCACACATTGCCCTCAGACATGACATCTCCACTGCCTCCAGCCTTCTCGCTGCAACATTCATCACCCACGCTTCACACCCATATAAGAGCGTTGGTAAAACTATACTCTCATACATTCCCCTCTTTGCCTCCAAGGACAAAGTTCTTTGTCTCCACAGACTCCTAAGTGCACCACTCACTCTTTTTCCCTCATCAATTCTATGATTCACCTCATCTTTCATAGACCCATCCGCTGACACGTCCACTCCCAAATATCTGAATACGTTCACCTCCTCCATACTCTCTCCCTCCAATCTGATATTCAATCTTTCATCACCTAATCTTTTTGTTATCCTCATAACCTTACTCTTTCCTGTATTCACCTTTAATTTTCTTCTTTTGCACACCCTACCAAATTCATCCACCAATCTCTGCAACTTCTCTTCAGAATCTCCCAAGAGCACAGTGTCATCAGCAAAGAGCAGCTGTGACAACTCCCACTTTGTGTGTGATTCTTTATCTTTTAACTCCACGCCTCTTGCCAAGACCCTCGCATTTACTTCTCTTACAACCCCATCTATAAATATATTAAACAACCACGGTGACATCACACATCCTTGTCTAAGGCCTACTTTTACTGGGAAAAAATTTCCCTCTTTCCTACATACTCTAACTTGAGCCTCACTATCCTCGTAAAAACTCTTCACTGCTTTCAGTAACCTACCTCCTACACCATACACTTGCAACATCTGCCACATTGCCCCCCTATCCACCCTGTCATACGCCTTTTCCAAATCCATAAATGCCACAAAGACCTCTTTAGCCTTATCTAAATACTGTTCACTTATATGTTTCACTGTAAACACCTGGTCCACACACCCCCTACCTTTCCTAAAGCCTCCTTGTTCATCTGCTATCCTATTCTCCGTCTTACTCTTAATTCTTTCAATTATAACTCTACCATACACTTTACCAGGTACACTCAACAGACTTATCCCCCTATAATTTTTGCACTCTCTTTTATCCCCTTTGCCTTTATACAAAGGAACTATGCATGCTCTCTGCCAATCCCTAGGTACCTTACCCTCTTCCATACATTTATTAAATAATTGCACCAACCACTCCAAAACTATATCCCCACCTGCTTTTAACATTTCTATCTTTATCCCATCAATCCCGCTGCCTTACCCCCCTTTCATTTTACCTACTGCCTCACGAACTTCCCCCACACTCACAACTGGCTCTTCCTCACTCCTACAAGATGTTATTCCTCCTTGCCCTATACACGAAATCACAGCTTCCCTATCTTCATCAACATTTAACAATTCCTCAAAATATTCTTCCATCTTCCCAATACCTCTAACTCTCCATTTAATAACTCCCTCTCCTATTTTTAACTGACAAATCCATTTGTTCTCTAGGCTTTCTTAACTTGTTAATCTCACTCCAAAACTTTTCTTATTTTCAACAAAATTTGTTGATAACATCTCACCCACTCTCTCATTTGCTCTCTTTTTACATTGCTTCACCACACTCTTTAACTTCTCTCTTTTTCTCCATATACTCTTCCCTCCTTGCATCACTTCTACTTTGTAAAAACTTCTCATATGCTAACTTTTTCTCCCTTACTACTCTCTTTACATCATCATTCCACCAATCGCTCCTCTTCCCTCCTGCACCCACTTTCCTGTAACCACAAACTTCTGCTGAACACTCTAACACTACATTTTAAACCTACCCCATACCTCTTCGACCCATTGCCTATGCTCTCATTAGCCCATCTATCCTCCAATAGCTGTTTATATCTTACCCTAACTGCCTCCTCTTTTAGTTTATAAACCTTCACCTCTCTCTTCCCTGATGCTTCTATTCTCCTTGTATCCCATCTACCTTTTACTCTCAGTGTAGCTACAACTAGAAAGTGATCTGATATATCTGTGCCCCTCTATAAACATGTACATCCTGAAGTCTACTCAACAGTCTTTTATCTACCAATACATAATCCAACAAACTACTGTCATTTTCGCCCTACATCATATCGTGTATACTTATTTATCCTCTTTTTCTTAAAATATGTATTACCTATAACTAAACCCCTTTCTATAAAAAGTTCAATCAAAGGGCTCCATTATCATTTACACCTGGCACCCCAAACTTACCTACCACACCCTCTCTAAAAGTTTCTCCTACTTTACCATTCAAGTCCCCTACCACAATTACTCTCTCACTTGGTTCAAAGGCTCCTATACATTCACTTAACATCTCCCAAAATCTCTCTCTCTCCTCTGCATTCCTCTCTTCTCCAGGTGCATACACGCTTATTATGACCCACTCTCACATCCAACCTTTACTTTAATCCACATAATTCTTGAATTTACACATTCATATTCTCTTTTCTCCTTCCATAACTGATCATTTAACATTACTGCTACCCCTTCCTTTGCTCTAACTCTCTCAGATACTCCAGATTTAATCCCATTTATTTCCCCCCACTGAAACTCTCCTACCCCCTTCAGCTTTGTTTCGCTTAGGGCCAGGGCATCCAACTTCTTTTCATTCATAACATCAGCAATCATCTGTTTCTTGTCATCCGCACTACATCCACGCACATTTAAGCAACCCAGTTTTATAAAGTTTTTCTTCTTCTCTTTTTTAGTAATTGTATACAGGAGAAGGGGTTACTAGCCCATTGCTCCCGGCATTTTAGTCGCCTCATACGACACGCATGGCTTACGGAGGAAAGATTCTTTTCCACTTCCCCATGGACAATAGAAGAAATAAAAAAGAACAAGAGCTATTTAGAAAAAGGAGAAAAACCTAGATGTATGTATAATATATATGCATGTGCGTGTCTGTGAAGTGTGACCAAAGTGTAAGTAGGAGTAGCAAGATATCCCTGTTATCTTAGCGTGTTTATGAGACAGAAAAAGAAACCAGCAATCCTACCATCATGCAAAACAATTACAGGTTTTTGTTTCACAGTCATCTCGCAGGACGGTAGTACTTCCCTGGGTGGTTGCTGTCTACCAACCTACTACCTATATATATATATATATATATATATATATATATATATATATATATATATATATATATATATATATATATATATTTCATACCCTTTTATATTTAGAAATATACAGTTTGTGTGTGTACATATCTAGTATGCGTATATTATCACTATAGGAACAAATCGAATCCTAATATAGACAGATAAACGCTTAATTTATAACTTTAATTTTGATATGGTATTTATAACATTTTAGCTGTAAACAAGTCCTAGAAGATAATGTTGGAAAGAAGAGATGCATATTTATTATAAATATATTAATATTCCCTATAGTATCCCTTAGTACCAGAAACCATTAACATATCCTCTAAATGATATATGAATTTGCTATAGACAATTTATAACAGAATGAATATAGATTCTGCTGAACACCGGTGGAAATATCGATTCTAATTTATGGACAACTTATCTCTGACCAACTTTTAAAGATTATAACAATTATTTTTCGTATACATTGTCAGACATACAATACTTTCTTTATAGTTAGTATAGACTCTCACTTGAAGACGAAGTCAACTAGAGGAAGCATTCATGAGCTGAACCTCAAAAGTGAATTATAGCCTCTATATAAATAGGTCTGTTTTCCGTACTTTCAGAGACATTCACCTGACTGAATTCTCGCTCTCTCTCAAAACTTCTCACTCATTATTCTTCACAGGTCTTGCTTGTAAAATAAAGACATGCGTAAATTTAATCTTTGATATATAGACATGTCTTGATTTTGATGATTTCTCTCTCTCAGGGACTTCCTCACTCTATATTGTATATTTTGTTTTCACGAAAAATCAAATTTATTTACATACTGCAAGATTGTTCTGTGATTACTCAAACTTTTTCAGAATGTCTAAGATCTCTTAGAGCCTCAAGTGAATCTTCCAAGAAAAAAAAAATATATTCGAAGTAACTATGACTTATCCAATACCCAAGGAGGGATATAAATTGTTATCCGCTCTGTTCACACACTTCCTGAATCAATTATCATTTTAATAATAAAAAAATCCTCTTTTAACTACGTTTTAAATCAATTCTGTTCTCTCACTCAATGGAGCCTACATATTCCTCAGACACTCTCCAGAAGCCTGCAAAGATTTTCTGTGCGTTCACAAACATTGCAAGTACTCACCTACGCACTTAATAGACACCTGGTAGATACCTTCAATGCAATTTACAAAACGCCTAACTGCTTAGGTGCTCATAGCCAGACAATTTTAGTGCACACTCATACAATTCAAAGACCTTTAAAATAGATTTGGGACGTCCAGAGCTGAATAATCCACACGGCATTACCACACGGTTCCAGGATGTTCTTGCGCAATTCTATTTACACTCGAGTATTTCCAGTAAGTTCGTACACAATTGAAAGAAATTGGAAGGGCCCCTTCCGTGAAAAACCAAACAAAACATTACGAATATTTCTGCAACAAAACTTCATCTAATTCCAGGATGTCTCCATTCAACTCACGAGAGCAGAATAAAATTCTATTATCTTTTACAATTTACTAGGATGTACTAAACATTCTAAGGACACAGTTTTGAGACGACTCAAAACACTTGCAAAGGGCCCTCGTACATTTCCAAGTCCTCCCAAGGCAATTCCAGAAGGTCTTTTACACTTTCCAGACGTTCTTAAATATTTTCATGACGGCCCCAAGCACACTTCAGCCGTCCCTCAGAAGAAATTGCTGTCCCACTCCCTAAGGGAGTATCTCCTGAAGATAGTGAGTCTGGCTAAGCACGGGCAGTAGGCAGCGAGGGTGGTAGCCACGACTCCCAGCATATACGACCACCCAAAACTGCACTCCCCTGACCAGTAGACCGACGACGACCCTCCACACTCCCGACGCGCCAGCGGGGAGCCCAGCCCCAGGGGAAACAACACCAGCGCCACCCCTTGGGACATTACTGTAGGGGAGTATATGACATGGCATCAGAATGACTGAGAGAAACTTAGGGAGTAATTATGATGAAATTACAGTGTGGTGTATAATTATTCTTGTCATCTAAAGAGTATATAGTTGAAGTGGTAGTAAAAGCAATAGATGAAACATTAATAGTGGTATTATTATTCGCAGTAGTAGTAGCAGTGGTGTTCATAGTAGTAAAAGTGGTAGCGGTAGTATTAGTACTAGTGTAAAAGTAGCAGCAGGAATAGTTTTGGTACCTAATCTAACCCAACTTAATCGATCTTAATCTAACATAATTTAATCAAATATGCATTACCTAACCTAATACACCATAAATTAAGCAAAAATAACTTAACCTCCCATAACCCAGCAACACCTAACCTGATTTAACGTATCTAAGTTAACCTAAGACAGGCAAGGCTAAACCAAAAAGAATTAAACTAAACTTAAGCCAAAGAGCTAATCTCTATCAAAACAAAAACAAAAACACAAACAAAACAAGAAAAAGCAAAGAAAAGCGTATGCGTAGAGATCATGCAAAAACACACGCATTCATGTAAGTTAGAAAACTATGGATGTCACGAGTACTTAGGCACGTAAACTTACCGACAGCCACCTGGACATTGCCCACCCAGACGGCGAAGGCGTACCTCCGAGCGTGGGCACGGGCGGCGTGCAGAGCCAGCGACGCCACACCCGCAATCACCTGCAGCACGCCCGCGGCTCCGTACACCACTCCAACCAGCACCCACACTGCGGAAGAACCGGCACTCACGCCCACTCCTACGCCAGAACACAGCAAGATGGGTGCACGGGGACGGTAGTCGATGGCTTGGAAAAAATAATTAAGTAAATTAAAATAATAATAATAATAATAATAATAATAATAATAATAATAATAATAATAATATTATTATTATTATTATTATTATTATTATTATTATTATTATTATTGCTGTTATTATTATTTTTATTATTATTATTATTATTTTCTGTGGATCAGGCATGATTGCCCCTCATTCCCCAGGCGCTGAATAATAATAATAATAATAATAATATTATTATTATCATTATTACACATCCACATGTCTTTTTTCTAAGCAACACAGCCACAGATTTAAACTAATCTCGATGTATTCCATGCTAATGTGTGTGGTACGATATTTAAATGGAAGGAATTAGTCATGCACACACACACACACACACACACACACACACACACACACACACACTGGTATTCATGACATTAGATGTGATATACTTGCGAATTCAAGGGTTGTTCTGTGACATGATAGTTCCGAGTGAAGCTGCTCTACGTGCAGGTAGGTATAATTAATCTGCCTTGCGCCTTTCAGTCGGAGGATCGAGTCTCCATCACTCAATAATAATAATAATAATAATTATAATTATTATTATTACACCGTTCAACCTAAATGAAGTGATTATCCCAGTAAAACGATACAAATATTGTTATTATTATTATTATTATTATTATTATTATTATTATTATTATTATTATTATTATTATAACCCACAATTTGTGAAGAAACATTAGAGAACGTTTTGGTCCGTTTTGGGCCATTGTCAAGTCTCAAGTGAATAAGAACACGTAAAAAAAAAATAAAAAAAGAAGGAAAACCTCAGAAGCCAGGTCAGGAGCATCGCACTGTATTTCACGAAGCGCTAAAGCCCCTATGGATTACTAGTTCAAAGAGTGGTGGAGGCTCGATGCTCCGTCCGATAAGCGAGGTCGGAGCAGCCTAGCTACCGCCACGGGCACAACACAGACCAGGAGAGAAGATGGCGTGCCTCACTCCCGTACAAGAGTGCACTATACGACTCTTAACCCCAACAAAACACTGTGATTATTTCCCAGTATTTTTCTCCCTCGAACAGAGGTTCATTCTCGGAGGTTCAAATCAGTATGCTTGGATTTAAAAAAGAAATCCACGTTACTTGTTTTAGCACAGTAGCTGTAGTAGTTGCTAGCAGTTGCAGTAGTTTGTTTAATAGCTTCATTATGCAGCTAGTGCCAATTTTTTTTAAGTACGTAAGTTATCGTACGTAAAATATTTTATAATAGTGACAGATCACAATGACGTTATAGGCACCTAAAAGAGTATGTTATGTAGATTTAATACAGGATAACAAAATACTAGCTATGATAATACTAGTAGTACTGGTGATAGCAGAAGTAGTAATAGTAGTTGTCGCTATACTAAAAATAATAATAGTTGGAGTATTAGTAGTAGTACTATTAAGGTGTATTACTACAAACTACAGCAGTAGTTTTTTGTAGAATATCCATTCTTTTCCCTATCAACTAAGTATTCTATTTTAAGCCGCCTCGTTGAAGAAAAAAGGTTCATAGTCCAGGATAACCCAGTCTAATAAATGTGGCTTATTATCACTGGGATCCTCTGGCTCTCCTCTCCAGGATGCAAACCACAGCTGTCGGCTAGCACCCATGTACCTATGCACTGTCAAGTGAACAGGGGCAAAAGGTGTAAGGAGACATGCCGAAAGCTTCCACTCGCACAGGGATCGAACCCGGGTTTATTGGTTGCCAGGTATCGTCAATAGCTTTAATGCACTTTCATGCATGACACAGAAATTTATCTCGTGAATGCTTCCTAGGGCGTATACAACTCAAGCTGCGGGGATGGGTGGGGGGGGCGCATTTTACTTTAAATCAATGTAATGGCGAAAATATTGAGAATTCAGTGGTCAAAGCTGTAGGAAGAGTTAGGTCTTGATTTGTATGTGCACTCGCTGATTTGTACCCATCGGTTTATTTTTGCGGGGACCGAATCTCGGCTCCTGACTCCAAAACTTGAACCACTTTGATCGCCATTACTAGTTTCTAACTTCTTCAACTTCAGGCCTATTATAGAAACTTGTTTGTATTTGTCTCCACTCCTCACTGAACGTATTCTACTTTCCTACCACTCTGAGATTGAACGAGTGTTTATTTATCATCCCTATGGCTCATCTGTGTCCTTTTAGACCCTGGTCCTCTTAATTTAATCAGTCTACGGACCATTATATAGGTTATGTATAACTCAGTCAACTATTTATCTCCCTCATCAGTTCCTCCTCATAATTCGCACGTTGTACTCATGTCTCCTCTCGTTCTTCTCTGCTACTTCCTACCTCCAGGACTGTAACATCCTCACCTATCCTTCAGAGAGCATTCGCTGTACTTCCCACCTACAGAACTGTAAGTTGACAGGCTCTGTACCTTCGGTCATTCTCTCTGATATATTCCTTCGAGCTTCTGCACATGCTTAACCATATGGGGACTCCACACTAAGTCCACACACTCACTGATGGGAATAAATTATGCCTTGAATAAAACCCATCAAGGGTTCTTTGTTTAAGTTCCTGAATACTAATCAGAGGTTTGTTAATACTGTATTTGTCACTGAGTTACATGGTATATAAGTACCTCCAGTGATAGGTTTGTTGCCATGTTATACATATATATTATTCCTTTTATTAACATTTGAAGTCGAGATTACATAGACTGTGCTCTGCCTCCGGTCATATCTCTCTCTAATTCATATGACCCTAAAGCATTTTGGCTGAAATTCCAGCAGCCACTTGGTTTGTTTAAACTGAAGCATCAGTGTAACTGAATCCATATTTTTTATGAGTTTATTATGGATTTAATAAATATATTTTTATCTAATTTATTTACTTAGATTTATTTTACCTCACGAAACTTAAGAAACACAGAGAAGAGAGGATAGAGAGGGATGAATGAACTACACACTCATTGGTTTATAAGAAAACTTTTGACAACAGAAGATTAATACACGCACTCAAAGAACGTCAAAATATCAGGGAAGGTTAAAAAAATATAGAGGAATAAATAAGCGGTTAAAAGCAGAGTCCTGGTGTAGGAAGACGTGAATAAAGTAACCCGCGGAACCTACAAGGTTCCATCCTGGTTCCATTCTGCACTCTGGTAAGATACGTAGCGTGTGGGACTGCGATCTACTACTCGCGGGGTCGATCCCCTCATTACTCCTCGATTTTCGAAGCAAACACATGGACGCCGCAGACAAGCTTTTACAACGAAGGAAGCAAAAATAAGGTTTTGTTATAAGATTTAAAATGCCAAGAAAATCCAGCTAAATCTGTCCTGCAAAACTCTATCCCCCCACCCCAATACACGTAAACACATACGTACACAAACACGCACACAAATACGTACACACACACATACACACCAAGCAAGGCCATATCATATATAAGTTCAGCGGTTATGACTGCGACACTTCCCTGATCGTCAGACAAATCAACGTGAATACGCTGCGTCCTGGAAGTTATACTGGTTTAACATACTCCAGGTTGGCTGCCAAGTATGAATATTCATTTCGTAGCTACTTGCCATGCTCAAGCGTTAGCATATTCAGTCAAGTTTCATTAATTTGCTTTTTGAGTGGGTAAATTATGAAGAATGGTTCTGAAATAGCTATAAACACAATAAACATGTAAACATTATAGATATATATTATAATAAAAAAGGAAGCGTTAAGCAATAGATATAGAAATATTGAAGGTATGTAATCTTGGGGAGATATAAACATGGTGAATATATAAACACGTTATATATATAAACATTGAAGACTTTTAATCAAGACGTTCATACAAACATCACTCTCACAACGATCGATACCATGCCCAGCTCTTCTAGGGCAGGGTAGGTGCCTGAGCCAGAGCTTGCAGCTCACAAGACTGCCATTCCCATTAGCCCCCTTGGGGCAGAGATGGCAGACCAGAGAGACCTAGCTTCTCCGTACGAGCCCTGTGAGGGCGGGAAATGTGGCTAGGCCTGGGGAGAGTTGGTCCCGACAGTCTGAGATACTCCCGAGACAGGGAGCCAAGGCGGGCTACCACTTGGAAAAGGCCCGGGCCAGGAGAGTACCGGCGAATCAAGAAGAGGAAGAGGAGACTCTCACAACTTTGCTTTTGTATTCTCGTTTGAGAGAATAAATTAGAAAATATTTCAGGAAATTCGATCAAAAAGATGAAAAACTTAAATAGATTGTCATAATAGATAAAAATGATTATACAGTTTACTAAAGCAGACGCATGCCTGCTTTAGTCGATTTCTGGAAGTCATCTCTCTGGCGGCCTGGTCAGAGACCAGGCCTTATTGGTATAGGCACAGTAGACCTGAAAAAGGTAAACACTAAAAGTGAAGGTAAATCACTAAAAGTGAACTGCCATGAGGTATTTAACGATATAATGCACAACTGAGCCTTCAAGAGCCTTTGTGCCAGGGAGTTTTCTTGATTCTTGGAGCAGTAGCTACCCTGTCCTTCACTGAATCAAATATGATTACCTCTCAGTCTCCAGAGGGAAGACATTGACATAGCGCTCTCAAAACATCATGAATGTATCAAAGTCCCTCAGACTGATGTCGTAGGCCCTCTGCTGTGTATGGTATAGTAAATTCCCTCGGACAGGAAGTCCTGTATGTTACAGGCTGCTAATGATTCAATCCTAATGAAGAATACAAGCGAAGAACATCTGAAGGAACTTGAATTACAGTTGGGTATGTTGCAGGAATGGTTCAGCATGTAGCTACTTAGATATCCGCCCCCAGCGAGTCCAGAGTAAAGGAAAGAGACCAGATGTCGGGTAAAGAAAACTGCCTGCGAGCTAGCATTATATTAACTTATCTCCGGAAACGCAAGAAAAGAGATTAAAAGCGGTGGCGAGCATCAGGCGTGATAAAATAAGTACAACCTTCAAAAACCTTGACAGAGAATCTTGCAAATCTTAGTTATATCATATGCAAAGCTAATCCTTGGGCATGCAGCACTACGGTAGTATTGAGCCCACGCCAAGTGGATGACACAGCAAGACTAGATTAAGCTCAGAGGTTCAGCGCAACACTCGTGCCGGTGCTGAGAGGCTGGAATTACGGGAAGACTGAGGAACTCTATTTCACGAATGTAGAATGTGTATTAAGGGGAGACATGGTCACGCTGTACAAAATAATTGAGGCAAGATCGTGAGGAGCGAATTTGAGTCTATCTCCTAAATGATCCATATGGACGTTATTAAACAGTGTTCAGTATTTTCATATTTAAGTGAAAAGAATTTGGGAACAATACAGAATTCGCCGATTAAATACACGCTTTAAAAATATATATACCACTCAAATCGCTTTTGTTAAATTCCTCACATCAATGACTTGGTCAACATACACACACACACACACACACACACACACACACACACACACACACACACACACACACACACACACACACACACACACACACACACACAAAACACACACACAAAACACACACAAAACACACACACAGACACACAACAGAACAACGCCTACACAAAACAAACATCAATATACATTCATCCGCCTCTCTTTACCCCACTAAAATCCCGACTAATTACCAGCAACGCAGCCTAGCAGCGCCACCACTGCACCCGGTCCTCGTACCCTGAGTGCATGTTTACTAATGATATAGGCACGGCCAGTTAACATGATGCAAATATAACGAGCAATTGTAACCGCAATCAAAGCTGCTCTCTGCACTCTCTCTCTTTTCTGAAAGCAAATAGAGTCATGTGTAATGTACGCCTGTCATAATAGGTGCAGGCACAAAAACTGCCGATGTTATATACACCTGGTACAAGAAGTGCAGGTGTGTAATATACACCTGAGATGTCAGGCACGAGCACCTCACGCTCGCCTGCTCTGTCTATCGGCAATCGATTGTGTCTCGTGCTTGACTGCACACGAATCTTGCCAACAAGAGAAAAAAGTTGAGGAAAAAAAAGTTGGACAGTAAGCCTTAAATGCTTTTTCTAAAATATTCCTCGATAAATTATAATAGATAAAACTCAAGTAATATATGGGTTTATGTATTTTGTGATTATGGAGATAAAGAAATAAATAAAGACTATATACCATCTGGGTATAAACCCAAAAGATGTTTTTTTTCTTAATACACTGAGTTTAAGGTAATTCCTTTTTTCACTGAGCTGTAATTTATATAATTATATTAAATATTTAAAAATATATATTATTAAAAAATTTATATAATTTTAATATATATAATATAATTAAATATAAATAATTAAATATTAATAATAATGAAATTTAAAGACCAATTATGACTATTACGTGTGCCTTTCCTTTATAATCACAAAAGTTTTACCCTGATCGTTTTAATTTTTTTAAAATCATTCTTTGTATAAAAGAAAATTAAGAACGTACGAAAATTTGTTATGGAAACGTCTTGCGTAATAAATTACCAAAGTTTAAACTGTCTCTTTTTATCTTGTAGATTAATACATCGTCTTTCCCCTTTTTTTTTGGGGATGGTTACTACCGTATTGCTCTTCTAATGGCCATCGAAAGGTCTGGGCCCTTAAATTTAAACTACGACTTACCCGAAATTTTGTATCCTCTGTAATTCACATAAAAGTGTTTTTAAATTTCCCCTCAACGTTAGGACAAATCTTATAGATATTTACAGAGGACGTGGATTTGGCCTTAAAGGGCCCTGAGGCCGTGGCCTTAGCATAAAAGATAGGGAGAAATTTCTCTTTAAACTTTAATAATTTTCAGAGAGGAAAAAAGGGAAAAAGTTTTATAGGGGAAAAAGTTCCCAAAGTCGAGGGTTATTTGAAAAAAAGCATGGGAAGAATGCAAAAATGGGGTCGTATAGAGCAATGGGGGTTTACGTTTTTTCATGTGTGCGGAAAATTGTTTGAATATGGAGCGTAAGAGGAATTTGTGGGAGTTGTCAAATCGGATCGATTTGTTGCTTGACTATTACGCAAGAATGAAGAAATTAGGAAGAGTGAGTGGGGGAATGAAGGTTTTGACTCAAAAAATGGGAAAAGGGATTGTTTATGTGGTTGATTTTTAGCGTGGAACTCATAGGAAGATTGATTAAGGGATTTAACAAACTGGATTACTGGAATTAATGCAGGAGCACCTAGAAAGGGTCAGAGGAAGATGTTAAGGAAGCACTGAAGAGGGGAAAAGGGGGGAGAGTGGTTATGGCAATTGTAGCGCTACTGGAGTTTGGACACAAAATTGATTGGAAAAATTCAAGGAAAATTAAACCAGTTATGGTTATAGAGGTGAGAATTACATTGCTTGTAAAATGAAAGCTGCGGGGAGGGAAAAAATTTTTCATTCTGGGGGTCATTTTTTTTTAAAAAAAAAAAAAAAAAAAAAAAAAAAAAAAAAAAAAAAAAAAAAAAATCCCATTTTTTTCAAAAAAAAAATTTAAAAAAAAAAAAACAGAAAATGATAAAATCAATTTTTGAAAAAAAATATCGCAGATTCCATTCATTTTCTCCTATTCTACAGGACGTTTTATAAAAATTTTTAATTAAAAATGTATTTTTATTAATTAGGGGAAAAGTAAAAAAACGCACAATAAAAATGTTAATTTTAAAAAAGGGAAATTTAAACGAAGAATCAGCACTGAAAAAGTTTACAATTAAAAATGTTTTTTAAAGGGCCCAAGTAATAATTGACATTTATTTAAGTTTCGCCCCAAACTTTTCAAACCTTAATGGTTTAAAAACCCCAAAAGCGGGGAAATAAAATTTTTAGTTCCACCCCCTTTTTTTTCTTTTAGTCTTAACCCCAAATTTTTAAAAGTTTTTAAGGGGTTATTCCCCGAAAAATATTAAACTTTTCGTTTTTTTTTTTTTTCCCCAAAAACATTTTTTTCAGTCGTCTTCTACTGTTAGTCCCTGCTCATCTCTCGCTCTGTCCATATTTACTTCTGTCAGCCCCTTCCTATCCTATCCTCTGTGTTTGCTTTCATCACTCCACGTTCATCCCTAACCATATCCTTGTCCGATTCTGTTAATCAACTGCGTATTTGGAAACATACTTACCGAGAATATCGCGATAACTCTTCCGCTGTTCTTGTTGAACAAGAAACTCGGCGAAGAACAGTTCTTCAGCGCTGGGGGTCACCGTAGCTTTTTCAAACACCATCTGACCAGAATTCTTCTTAGCTTTTCCAGATGCCAACTTATCAGACCTGGCAATAGCTTCACTAGACTGTATACGACTAGACCTCGACTTTATTTTGCCAGAAACTAGCTGATCGGAGCTCTTCTTAGCTTTGCCAGGTTTCAGGTTGCCAGATCTCAACTTAGCTACGTCCAACGTCAACTGAAGAGATGTTCTGTTCGAGGGGTTAGGCTCATCAAACTCACCTCTCCGACGACCCACTGACACCAATGATTGCTTTCTCGACTTTGTTTTCTTTCTTCTGTTTTTCTTTTTCCTCTTTCTATTCCTATTCTTCCTTCTGCTGTTTTTCTTTACGGTGGTGTTCTTGTGTTCTGCGGATCCACCTACGTCTGTGTCGATGTTTGCGATAGTCATTCTTATCCTATTATTGACCTCCTGCCCAGTGTTACCCCCTTGGATATATCGAGTTGTATTTCTCACATCCGTAATGGTGGTCTCATGTTCTGACATTTCCTGCGTTTTTTTAACATCCCCAAGTTCACTCAGTACCAGTTTTTCCTCCTGAAAGTGAGGTATACTCGAGTTATCTTTTTCTTGCTCTACGACCTCCTCGTAACTTCCGTTCACGTGTAAGAGAACATTCTTTGTGTCTTGCTTCTCGTCCGTAACATCCTTATCAGTGCTCGTGAAGGCTCTTAAGACATCGAATGACTGCCTTCCATCAACGGGAGCATCTTCCGTCGCGCCTTGCACGGTGGAACTCGCTGAGGGAGTATGTTTGAGATCACTCTCTAAGGATAACGTAGTGTCAAGACCACCCTGGGGCGTTAGCTCCCACAGGGAAACATTAGTAGGCCTTGTCTCCTGACTAGCACCTGGCGACGCTGTGCTCGGCGGAAAGAGTTCAGGAGACATTGTGAAGACCGCAGGTGTTTGCGACGTCCCAGGCGGAGTAGTGGTGGTGGTCATTCCTTCGTACGGGTCGAGGGTTTTCGAAGTTGGCGGTGTGATGACGGTACTGTGTCTCCTAGGGATGGTGTGGGACACTTGACTGGTGTCTACAGCTGCTAAGCGACAGAAGCCCAGAGGTCCCACTGTAGACACAACAACCTTTAAAATTAAGATTAATTATTATTATTTATAATTTTATTATTGTTATTACCTGGTACTGTTATAACCAAGGGGAAGTTCTAAACCTGTAGGGGTCATGCAGCGTCTGGATTAAATGGGTCAAGGAAGAATAGGATTACTACAATTTCTTGGATAGTTATAAATCTCAGAGTTATAAAAATAACAAGCTAAAGTGTACAGTGAAGTTACATTATTAGTTACTAAGTGGAAAATAACTGAGTCTCTCAACTTGTCGTTGAAAATTTTGTTCTTGGTTACAAAACTTCTATTAGGAGGCATCAGCTTACTTTGCTTCAATCAGTATGATTATAAAGAAGTTTTTGCTTCATGCAGCTTGAAGCTTCTCCGTTATAATCACGATCACTGAATTTGTTGATGCATTATAGTACCGACAGAGCAAAAAGGTACAATACCATGACTGGAACAATATACAAATAACTCGCACATAGGAGAAAGGAGCTTCCGACGACGTTTCGGTCCGACTTAGACCGGGTTATTTGTCGGTACTCGAGTTTCGTTTAAGAGGCACATAAATTCCTCCCGTCTTCTGATAACATGTTCATTTTTCAATTACAATCTTACCGTGTCCATAATTACTATCGCATTTGCTCTGTCTGTTTCGTAAGGTGAGTTTGGAATCTTTCCTTAATTCATGGTATAATTTAACAAAGCTTTGAGGACAATTGTGTTGCAGTCCAAGACTGACGCAGTGTCATCTCCTCAATGGGAGGTTCCGTGATGTCGGCGAGGGGCTCTTGATCCAAGGAACTGGACCTATTCTTACGTTCCTTGGTTCGAACTTGGTTCCCTCCTATTCTCTAGGCGCTGCATGACCCCTATGGATTTAGCGCTTCTTCCTAAATACAGTAGCGAAGAAGTTTCAAAACCAAGACCAATTACCATATATAAAACGTAGCTCTGTTGCAAGCTCTCAAAAATTTCGTTCTCAATAAAACGCCATTATAGATAAAAGAAAAATTGGATATATACACCGAGAGATAAAAATCCCTCTTAGTATATACACCGACAGATGCAAGTCTCTCCTAGTATATACACCGGGAGGTATATTTCACTTAGTATATATACGCTGATAGTGTATAGGTGATGTGCACCCTTAGTGACCCACATGCGGTCGATAGGATTTACACACAGCAAAGTAAATCTCTGCTCTTTGGTTCGCTCTAAAATAATTCTCCCTTAAAGTTTGCATCGTTTATGAGATTTAAGACCTCTTGACCTCACGATGGTCAGTAAGGCCGCAGTTTACCTGTACACTAGCACTGAGAATATACTAGGTGAATATACCGTGTACACTGAGACACAAAGGGTGAAAGGGGAAGCAACACATTTTGTTCTTCCATTGAGTTAAAAAAAAATGGAAGTACTCACCTGGAAGGAGACTCCTCTGGCCTGCTGGGCGTGGATGAGGGAATACCTGACGTACCAGGAAGGCTGCAGGACAGTCACCACACTGATCACTCCCGTAGTGATCCCCAGCGCCGCCCACACGCCCACCACCCACCAGGAAGTCATCAGCTGCACTGACCGAGCACGCATGGTGCTGTGGTGGTTCCATCGCCAGCGTCACCAGCAAAATGACGATCTTCTTTCTCCTTTAGTTAGGCTCTTCCTCCTTCAGCGTGTATCTTTCTCCTACAACAAGCCCGTATCGCCGTCAGGAAAGTATTCCTCCTTCAAAAAGTCCTTTCCTCCTTCAACAAGTGTTTTCATCATTTAACAAGTCTCTTCCTCGTTCAAGAAGACTGGAGCTTGAAGTCACATTCAGCACAACCTCTGGATCCTGAGAATCAGATCAACCAGACTGTGGTAGCTCTGCAGGCCTGCGTTCCGCTAGCAGAAACAGCCTGGTACATCAAATATTCAGCAACAAAGGTGTGACTCAGGTCGCACTTCGAGAGTAGACGAACATTCGAAGCGGTCACAGGTATGTCTCCAACGTGCCCCAAGCTTAAAACTTAACCATGATTATAACACGATAACTTAAGGCAGAATCTGGGAAAAACAATTTATTTTTCCCCTACAAAACCTAGAAAAAAAACGAGATAGTTTTTAAAAAAGATCATAACTAGAGAGTCAAATTTGAAAAGGAATTAAAACTTCAGACAACAACAATTTATCACCATTCCAGGATTCCCGCCACCTTCCCACGTTTTCCATGGCCACTCCAGCCTTCCACTTCCACCTCTTCCACGTGAAGTAATATCTCTCCAAACAATAAAAAAACAGAGGGGCTAGAGAAAGGAATTCAATGAATGGAAACTGTAGGAGTTTTGAGTGTTAGTCAATGGCGTGTGGAAGGGAGAATGAATAGAGGGAGGGGGAGAGGAGAGGGTGAGAAATGATGGAGAGAGATGGAGAGGTATAGAGAGGGGTGAGAAATGATACAGGAGATGGAAAACGAAGGGTAAATATGTTTCACTGTTATCTTTCGTTACTTTTATCTTCGTTGCTATTATTAAAGTTGTGATAATAATCTCGTTATATGCATTTTATTCTAACCTGTTAAGTTCCTAATAAATGTACTTTACGTTGTTGCCTGTGTATTCTTCTTCCTCCATTCTTCTACTCTAATGTAATGATAAATATAAATATACAACTTAAATGAGTATATTTGTGACTTGCTGCTGGTGCTTGGCTAGGTGGGGGCTCCACACTTGGGCTACATACTCGAGGTTGGAACATCGGTATATTGTGTGTTGGTGTCCTAAAATTATAGAAACCTGAATGCTATTTTGAGAATTACTGGTCTCACCCATGTCACTGAGGTTATGCGCTTTATTTAGTTTATTTAAGTAAAGGTACACGTAAGTATAATTATGCAATAATATCACAATACAGATATCACAATATGCAAAACAAACACTATGAAAAAATAATGAACTTAATCTGTGTAAAAAAAGGGCCTTCATAATATGAGAAATCACGAAAGCGCTTGAAAGTTCACTATATTTCTCACAGTGGTTGCTTTGCATGCAAGAATAATTATCAAACATAGTGTAAATTACCTAGGATAACTCCAAAAAAGAGCCAGACAAAGTGACTTACTTCTGGAGATTATTTATGCAAAGGGATGACTGCCCCCTCAGCACGCTGTTCTCGGTTCCCCTCGCTTCTTCCTCACCCATTTTCAGGATCTCACCTTTGTTAGGGTTGAACTCCTTTTTCGTGTTTGTATCTCTCCCTCTCCCTCCCCCTCCCCCTCCCTCTCTCCCTCCCCTATCTCTCTCTCCATCTCCCTCCCCCTCTCTCTCTCCCTCTTCCACTCTTTCTCTCTCTCTCTCTCTCTCTCTCACTCTCCAGTTGTTTACCAGAGAAGTGGGACACGTGAGACTCTTTTTTCCCTTTGGGAGATCATTAACGTCCACGGTGTTGTGTAATGTTAGTTACTAGTTGTTAAAGGCACTTGTCGATAGACACTTGGTCTCTTGAGTGTGTGTTATGTATGTGTGTGTACTCACCTATTTGTTCTCGCCTATTTGTGGTTGCAGGGGTCGATACATAGCTCCTGGCCCCGCCTCTCCACTGACCGTTACTAGGTCACTCTACATGCTCCATGAGATTTTTCATACCTCGTCTTAAAACTATGTTTGGTTCCTGCCTCCACTACGTCACTTGATAGACTATTCCACTTCCTGACAGCTCTGACTAAAGAAATACTTCTTAACATCCCTTCGACTCGCCTGAGTCGTCAACTTCCAATTGTGACCCCTTGTTTCTGTGTCCCATCTCTGGAACATTCTGTCTTCGTCCAACTTGTCAATTCCTCGCAGTATTTTATATGTCGTTATCATATCTCCCTTAACCCTCCTGTCTTCCAATGTCGTCAGGCCAATTTCCCTTAACCTTACTTCGTAGGACATTCCCTTAGTTCTGGGACTAATCTTGTTGCAAACTTTTGCACTTTCTCTAATTTCTTGACGTGTATCACCAGGTGTGGGTTCCAAACTGATGCTACATACTAAAATATAGGCCTGACGACCACGGTGTATAGCCTTGAACTATTCCTTCCTGAGGCATCGGAACACTATTCTCAGGTTTGTCAGGCACCCATATGCTGTAACCGTTACCTGGTTGATGTGTGCCTCAGGAGATTTGATCGGTATTATACTCACTCCAAGATCTTTCTCCTTGAGTGAGGTTTACGGTCTTTGGCCACCTAGCCTGTACTCTGTCTGTGGTCTTCTTTGCCCTTCCCCGATCTTCATGACTTTGCATTTAGCGGTGTTAAATTCGAGGAGCCAGTTGCTGGACCAGGCTTCCAGCCTGTCAAACAGGGAAGTGTCAAACCCACACTGAGCTGCTCTGAGGAAAAACTCTTCCCTTCATTCCTTCAGTTGCTGCCTTGCAACATTGCATAGCTCCTGATGACGTACTGAGAAGTGTGAAAGTACTTGAGCTAAAAATTTCCACCCCCATGGCTTGTGTTGCACATACACACACACATTATATATATATATATATATATATATAATATATATATATATATATATATATATATAAAGATACATTTTTCATTTATGTTAATGTAAAAATTAATAATTTTGTACCAAAAGAACCTTCGAAAAATTACGTAACATCTTATTATAACTAGCACAATTTAATTTAGCCTAATCCAGCTAAATATATTTTAGAAAAGTTTACAATAATTTAATAATAAAGAAACACAATTAAATATATTTTTTCGTTAGGTTCTGAATGATTTTTGCTAAATTATCGCATACACAAGTTTTAGATTATATTATAGGCAAGAAGAGCGTTGCTACTTAAACCAAAATCGCAAGTTTTACCTATTTGGCACGACAATCGATGTCTTGCCACGAGAATGCTGATATCACAGTTCAGATGGCCCTTCGAACTACAATCTTTTCTATAAGTACGATAAGGCTCCTAAATTGCTGAGACAACATAATAAGTGTCTGGGGCCCAAGACTGTTCAACTGCCTCCCAGCATACATAAGGGGGATTACCAATAGACCCCTGGCTGTCTTCAAGAAGGCACTGGACAGGCACCCAAAGTCAATACCTGACCAACCGGGCTGTGGTTCGTACGTCAGTTTGCGTGCGGGCAGCAGTAACAACCTGGTTGATCAGACCCAGATCCACCACGAGGCCTGGTCTCAGACCGAGCCGCGGGGGCGTTGACCCCCGAAACCCTCTCCAGGTAAACTCCAGGTACTTCCAGAGTGCAGGCGCTGAACTTCCCACTTCAAGGACTCAAATCCAGCAAACTGGCTTCCCTAAATCTCTCAATAAATGTTATTTTGCTCGCGCTAATAAAAAAACCCGTCAACTTATAACACTCAGTTTCCTTTACTCACTTTTATTTAACAAGCTCACACAAGCCTATTGGACGTTCAAAGTCTTACAACTTAAGCCTCTTTTATCCCCCTCCTTCCCCAGTCCCTCCAACCTTTCTTGGGAAATCACCTATTTATCCTTATCTTCCCCTCAGATTTATACACATTCCTAGTTATACTATTTTGATCCCATCCTCTCTAAATGTCTGAATCTCCTTAACTCTCTTCGACCCTCTTATTAATTAAAGTTTTTGGCAATTCCACATCTATTAATTCCCAAGCTCCAAATTCTCTGCATAATATTTACACCACACATTGCCCTCAGACACGATGTCTCCACTGTCTCTACCTTCCTTTACACTGCAACGTTTAAAACTCATGCTTCACACCCATATAGCAGTTCTGGTACGACTATACTCTGGTACATTCCCCTTTTTGCATCCATGAGTTCTTTGGTTTCACGGACACTTCAACGCACCAGTTTTTTCCCCTCGTCAGTTCTATGGTTCACCTAACATTATATCTATCGTGCACCAATCAGAGGACGACAAGCACGAGGACACATGTCAGGAGACACTTTTCTCTCTCTCCTGACTGACGAAGTGCCACCACTACCAAGACATTTTCTTCAAATCGTTGAGTTCTTGGTCAATACTCAGAGTACCGATGTTTTACGTATTCCAATGAAAAATGTATTCGATGCATAAGCCACAGGCGTAAGTGCTCTGTCAACTATTAGTAAGTATAGACGTTTCACTGCGCATGGTCAGTTTGGAATTTTCAGGTTGATTCAGGGTAGGGTAGTTCTAACGTCTTGTATTAAAGTCCTTTGCCGGCATCATGGCACCCTCTCCTTGAAGGGAGTGCACTGTGACCCTTTACTATGCCTGTGACTGTAATGTGTTTTGCTTCCCCTTCTAGCAGCACATTTTCATAGATTTTACAACTTATATCTTGTGTTTCTCTGATTCCACCAATATTCATTAACAGTCCTGTAATGTATCTTGCACTTTAACGCCCTATTAAAGTTCTATCATATCTCGCATTTTAAAATCGTTATCATCTAACATTAGTATAACATCTCCCATGTTAACAACAAGGTTTTCTAACACTGGTATAACATCTTCCATGTCAACATCAAGGTTCTTTAAGAGTATAATGGCCTTTCGTACGCAGAGTTTCTAACAGTTATTTTTACTGATGTTGATATGCCTTAGATTTTTCAGTCACCTGATCTCTTTGACACTGCCTCTTTAAAATGTTATAATCCAACATTGTTTTAGTTACGATGTTAAAAATGCTAAGTATTTTTTAAACACAGAATCATTAACATTGCACTTTTTTAACTACATTACGATATCGTGAGTCAAGTTAAGCACAATCACATTAACACTGTCTCAAGACTTTTCCATCTTTAAGAATATAATCTAACACAGTCACATTAACAGCCAAGCAGTAAACCACACGAGGTACAAAGCAATGAGATCGACTTCGGAAGAGATATAATCTTGTTGGCATGTTTTTCCTGGTATGTAAAGTTTATCCCACGTCTAAACACGGCTTACACACCCAAACTTCTGGTCCACAATAACACACACACAAACACGAGAGTCCAGCACATATGTAGGTCACTGTGTGAATATCTCTGGAAGCTTCAGTAATGCTTGTCTGGTTGCTTCTAAACAAGCAGTTAGTAGGAGTGTGAACATCACTTGAAAATGATGAGAACAAGGAGAGATAGAGAGAGAAAGAGAGAGAGAGAGAGCCAGAGAGGGTCAGGCAGCTCACTGGAACACAAGCGTACCCTTCGCTCGTTCACAGCACACTGCCGCTGGAATGGGAATCGAGCGTGGCGGGAATCAGGGAATTTGGCTTTGATCCCGTACGAGTGGTTGGTGAAAGTGAGGGAGGAAGAGGAGTGGTGGAGAGATAGAGAGAAAGATAGAGAGAAAGATAGAGAGAAAGATAGAGAGAAAGATAGAGAGAGAGGAGAGGGAGAGAGAATGAAGCGTGCACACATCCTTCCCAAGGAACTTACGTCACCCCAGCTTTTAGAATTATCTGGGACAAGAGCAGGTAAACATGGAGCCGCTGCGTCGATCACTATCTCACATTACCACGTCAAAGGTTTCCCAGTAAATAACGGAAATAATATCAGTGAGAGGAAGCGATATTGAGAGAGAGAGAGAGAGAGAGAGAGAGAGAGAGAGAGAGAGAGAGAGAGAGAGAGAGAGAGAGAGAGAGAGAGAGAGAGAGAGAGAGAGAGAATGAAATGTGCTTGATTTTAAATAATTATTTTCTCTCAGTTTTTACACAGGAAGACACTTACAATATTCCAGTAATTAATTTTTACAGTGGGCTAGAAGAAGATAAATTATGTAACATCACAGTCACCAGTGAGATGGTTGTGAAGCAGATAGACAGACTGAAGCAAAATAAGTCGCCCGGTCCTGATGAGGTTTTTTTCAAGGGTTCTTAAGGAATGCAAAATGGAACTCTGTGAACCATTAACTAATATTTTTAATTTATCTCTTCAAACAGGTGTAGTGTCTGATATGTGGAAGATGGCTAATGTAATTCCTATTTTTAAAACAGGGGACAAGTCGTTTCCGTCAAATTACCGCCCAATAAGCCTGACCTCAATTGTAGGCAAATTACTAGAGTCAATTATAGCTGAGATTATAAGAAGCCATCTCGATAAGCATAGCTTGATTAATGATACTCAGCATGGATTCACAAGAGGCCGGTCTTGTCTAACTAATTTATTAACTTTCATCAGTAAAGCTTTTGAGGCTGTTGACCACAATAAAGAATTTGATATTATTTACTTAGATTTTAGTAAGGCTTTTGATAGAGTTCCGCACCATAGACTGTTAAAGAAAGTGGCAGCTCATGGCATTGGGGGAAAAGTGCTCTCGTGGATCGAGTCATGGCTCACTGACAGGAAGCAGAGAGTGTCCATAAATGGGGTTAAGTCCGAGTGGGGATCTGTAACAAGTGGCGTTCCACAGGGATCAGTCTTGGGCCCGTTGTTGTTTGTAATATATATCAATGATCTTGATGAGGGAATTACTAGTGATATGAGCAAATTCGCCGATGACACAAAGATAGGTAGGATAATTGATTCAAACGTAGATGTTATGGAACATCAGGAGGATTTAAACAAACTCTATTCTTGGTCAGAAAAGTGGCAGATGCAGTTCAATGTAGATAAATGCAAGGTTCTGAAGCTTGGGAGTGCCCATAACCCTAGTACTTATAAGTTAAATGATGTAGAACTTAGCCATACAGATTGCGAAAAGGACTTGGGGGTTATGGTGAGCAGCAACCTTAAACCAAGACAGCAATGCCTAAGAGTACGTAATAAGGCAAATAGATTACTGGGATTTATATCAAGAAGTGTAAGCAACAGAAGTCCAGAGGTCATACTGCAGCTTTATACAACATTAGTAAGGCCTCACCTAGATTATGCAGCTCAATTCTGGTCTCCGTATTACAAAATGGACATAAATTCGTTAGAAAACATTCAACGTAGGATGACTAAATTAATACATAGCATTAGAAATCTTCCTTATGAAGAAAGATTGAAGACTCTTAAGTTACATTCACTTGTTAGACGAAGAATGAGGGGAGACCTGATCGAAGTGTATAAGTGGAAGATAGGTATTAATAAAGGGGATATTAATAAGGTCTTGAGGATGTCTCTCCAAGAGAGAACCCGCAGTAATGGATTTAAATTAGATGTTTAGATTTAGAAAGGACATAGGAAAGTATTGGTTTGGAAATAGGGTAGTTGATGAGTGGAACAGTCTACCTAGTTGGGTTATTGAGGCTGGGACTTTGGGTAGTTTCAAATCTAGGTTGGATAAGTACATGAGTGGGAGGGGTTGGATTTGAGTGGGACTTTCACATCAGAGCTTATTTCTTGGGTGGCATTGAAAATTGGGTTGGGCAAATGTTTTGTTAGTGGGATGAATTGTAAAGGACCTGCCTAGTATGGGCCAGCAGGCCTCCTGCAGCGTTCCTCCTTTCTTATGTTCTTATGTTCTTATGAGACAGACAGAGAAAGAGAGAGAGAGAGAGAGAGGAATCACACGTATAACGTAGTTCTGTGGCCAGATCATCAACCCACAAGTTAAACGCCCAGGGTCAGGTTCTAAGGCAGGGACAGACACATAGGAAGGTCTCCCTGCAACTGCTGCCCCTGTTCATCTAGCGGTAAATAGGTACCTGTCAGCTTCTCGAGTGTTGGGGGGAGGGGAACATCCAGGGAGAGATGGGACTAGCATGCTTTGAATGGCACTGGATTTCAAAATGAACTTAGGCTGGAACATTTGTCTAATATCCTAGAATGTGTATACAAAGTTCACGCTAAAACAGGAAACTGAGGAAGGCTGTATAACAAGATGTACGTATTTACACACACACAGGAGCTGTGAATCGACCCCTGCAACCACACACACACACGACTAGCAAAGAGACGGAACCAGGAGCTGTGATTTGACCCCTGAAACCACAGACGAATACAAATGCGTGAGTACACACACACACACACACACACACACACACACACACACACACACACACACACACACACACACACACACACACACGCCCTAATATAGGTTATATATATAAAGAATAATTGAACATTTTTAACAACATAAAGTACACCCAAAACAAAGTATGGTAATATTGCATGAAGTCCGCAGCATTTAAGAATCTTATACATAAAATAGAATGCTGAGAATCTTGCGGTTAAATGGATTTCGAAATCAAGAATTATGAGGCATGCAGAAATTTAAATAAAAATACACATAACCGAAAACAGAAAATTAATGTACTCACCTATATGTACTCACCTATATGTGGTTGCAGGGGTCGATTCATAGCTCCTGGCCCCGCCTCTTCACTGGTCGATACTAATTCACTCTCCCCCTGCTCCATGATATTTGTCATACCTCTTCTTAAAGTTATTTATGGAACTTGCTTCCACTACTTCACTCTCCAGATTATTCCAGTTCCTGACAACTCTAAGACTAAAGAAATACTTCCTAACATCCCTATGACTCATCTGGGTTTTCAGTTTCCAATTGTGTCCCCTTGTTTCTGTATCCCATCTCTGAAACATTCGATCCTTGTCCACCTTGTTAATGGCTCTTAGTATTTTATATGTTGTTATCATGTCCCTTCTATCCCTCCTATCCTCTAGTGTCATCAGGTTGAGTTCCCTTAACCTCTCCTCATCAGATATACCCCTCAGTTCCGGGACTAATCGTGTTGCAAATTTTTGCACTTTCTCCAATTTCGTGACGTGTTTGACTAAGAGAGGGTTCCATACGGGCGCTGCATGTTCCAGTATAGGCCTTACGTACACTGTGTACAATGTCATGAATGACTCCTTACTCAGATGTCTAAACGCCAATCTCAGGTTTGCCAATCTCCCATATGCTGCAGCAGTTATTTGATTGATGTGTGCCTCAGGGGACATGTTCGTTATAATGCTTACCCCAAGATCCTTTTCTTTAACTAACGTTTGCAGCTGTTGGTTTCCTAACCTGTACTCCGTCTGCGGTCTTCTGTGTCCTTCCCCAATCTTCATGACCTTACACTTACTGGGGTTAAACTCCAGGAGCCATTTGTCGGACCATACTTGTAGTTTGTCCAGATCCCCTTGTAATCTTAACTGATCCTCGCCCACTTGCATGCTCCTCATCAGTTTCACATCATCAGCGAACAGTGACACTTCTGAATCTATTCCTTCCACCATGTCATTCACGTATATAAGAAACAGCACCGGGCCTAGGACTGAACCTTGTGGAACCCCACTCGACACATTCGCCCACTGCGACACTTCAGCACGTACCAACACACGTTGTTTCCTTCCTGTCAGGTATTCCCTGATCCATTGCAGTACTTTCCCCGTTATTCCTGCCTGCTTTTCTAATTTTTGCACCAGTCTGTTGTGTGGTACTGTGTCAAAAGCCTTCTTGCAATCTAAAAAGATGCAATCTACCCATCCCTCTCTCTCCTGTCTTACTTCTGTTACCTTATCGTAGAACTCAAGTAAATTTGTGACACAGGATTTCCCATCTCTGAAGCCGTGCTGATTGTCATGTATGAGCCCAATCTTTTCAATGTGTTCCACTGCTTTACCCTGATAATCTTTTCCATGACTTTACATACAAGTCAGTGACACTGGTCTGTAGTTTAATGCTGCCTGTCTGTCCCCTTTCTTAAAAATTTGAACTGCATGTGCTGTCTTCCACGCCTCAGGCAACTGCCCTGTTTCGATAGATTTACTGAAGATTGCTGCTAGTGGCACACACAGTTTCTCTGCTCCCTCTCTCAGTATCCATGGAGATATGTTATCTGGGTCCACCGCCTTTTGAGGTATCGAGTTCGTCTAGCAATTTCTTTACTTCTAACTTGGTTATGTGTACTGTGTCCAGCGCCTGCTGGTGCACCCTACCTCCACAGTTTGCTGGAAGCATTCCTGACTCTATTGTGAATACTTCTCTAAATCTTTTGTTTACTTCATCACATACTTCTTGGTCACTCTTCGTCAGCTCCCCTCCTTCTTTCCTCAGTCTGATTACCTGGTCCTTGACTGTTGTTTTTCTCCTAATGTGACTGTATAACAACTTTGGTTCAGATTTGGCTTTTGATGCTATGTCGTTCTCGTATTGTCTCTGGGCCTCTCTCCCTATCCCTGTATGTTCGTTTCTGGTTCTTCTGCTCAGCTCCTTGTTTTCTTGAGTCCTTTGCCTTCTATACCTTTTCCATGCTCTAGCACACTTGGCTTTGGCCTCTTTACACCTCCAGTTAAACCATGGGCTCACTCTGGTCTTGCCATTCTTTTCTGTTGCCCTTTGGTATGAACCTCTCCTCTGCCTCCCTGCACTTAGTGGTCACTATTTCCATCATTTCATTTACTGTCTTTCCATCTAGTTCTCTTTCCCACTGCACTTCATGTAGGAAACTTCTCATTCCTATGTAGTCCCCTTTTTTGAAGTTTGGTTTCTCTCTTTGTTCTCGTGTGTGTGTGTGTGTGTGTGTGTGTGTGTGTGTGTGTGTGTGGTGTGTGTGTGTGTGTGTGTGTGTGTGTTGTGTGTGTGTGTGTGTGTGTGCACGCATGTGGTATTACCAAATCCGTGTGGTTTATTTAGCATAAAGTGTTGTGAGGGCTCGATCCTCCGTCCGCCAGTGAAGAGACAGAACACCCTTCGTCTCTGTACTCACCAAATTGTACTACAAGTTCGGAAAAGATTGTGGGAGAACTGTCAGGATGACGCTGTAGAAATTAGACTCTAAGTGGATCTGTCACTGTGTGTCTTTACTTCACTTGTGGCTCGTTAATACTGATAATATCAATAATATTTGAGAATTAAAAGAACCAAAATTATTTAGTTAAATATTACGGTAATAAATAATCCTCCCTTAATATTAAGAAAATAAGAAACTAACATCCCTTCATATATTCCAATATTTCAGCAAGATATATACACCAAGAGGTATATATATTTCGGTGTACATGTGCTGAGAGCTTATTTAAAACCCTGCTTTAGGGATTAAAAGATTCCTCACTGGTGGCGAACAAGTGACGTTAAGTCTTAATAATTGCCCTAGTGTAATCGCCAGGCTTTAAGTCCAAATTAAC